AAAACATATCCGAAGAGTACGCCAGCTTGTAATCCTGGCATGCCTACCACACAACGGCAGCCAAAACGCTCTTTTTAGCCCGTCGAAAAGTGTTTCGTGTAGGGTTTATTATTTTCTTTTACATAAGTGTAGTAATTTTTGTTGCAGAGTGAGACTGTCACCTCACCTAGCTCAAGTCTGGTTGATCACGACTCTTGCAATCCATTGTCAAATCCAATTGGCCTCATTCGTTCAACCAGCAGAAGTCGTACTCCATTTAGCTTTATGAGGAAAGACCTGTGCTGTGAATGGAAGGGTTTGGGAAAATAGCCACTACATAAAAACAACACGCCGTATAAATTTAGGATTAAAGGTGAATTAAGACCATAGATAGCCGCTAATTTTGCCATCAGCGCCGGTGCGCGCACTCTTCAGGAACATGCCCATATTCGCCTTCAACTGGACGATGCAGTCCTTTTCGGTGTGCACGACTGGGCTGCAACGGATTGGTCTGCGACGGTCAAAAACATTGCTCCTAATTATAAAAAGACGCTGCAAGAGGAAGACCTCGGGTTTTTGCAACTTTCGTGATGGAAGTACTCGAAATAAATGATTTAGCTCAAATATGAAAAAATTGGAAAATTTGTTTTGTCCATTGTGCTTTTTTTCAAGTAGTCCCATCTCGTAATTCGCAAAACCCCAAGGTCAACCACTAGCGGCATCTGTTAAGAATAGCTAGCAATTTTTTGACCGTGGCAGACCCATCCGTTGCACTACAATCGTGCACACCGAGAGGGACTGCGTCGTTCCAGTTTAAGGCGAAGATTGGCAGGCTCCTGGAGAGTGTGCGCAGGCTACTGGCGCCAACGGCAAAATGAGCGTCCATCTATGCCCTTACTATACCTGTAATCCTAAATCGATGCGGGGTGTAGTTTTTATTTAGACGATTATTGCAAACGCTTACATTTCACACGTCAGCTCCCCTAACATTGTTATTAGACGTTTAGAGGTTTCGAACGACGGGTTTACGTATGGCCATACTTTTGCGCTGCTGTTGGCTATTCACAGTTCTGACTGCAAATAACTCTGGCCGAGCCGTGCCGTAGCGAAGTTGCTGCTTGGCATTCAGCGAGTGATTTGAAAGAAACGATTTGCTTGTAAATTAATGTGAAGCTTTTCGAAGTAAATTATATGACTAGGGTAGAGGATACGGCGGGATACGGTGATTGTCCGGGGTACAATGATTGTCCCCCGTGAACTTGAACGTCCCTGGCGGGTAAACGGTACGTCGCAGGTCAACCGGGCATAGTGCCATCTATAGGCCGTTCTTTTCACTACAGAGTCGCGCAACCATCACCCAGACCGTCTGTCTGAGATGGGAGCTACAGCCGGCGCCGCTTGGGACTACACAAACAGTGACGCACGGTGAGTTTCTTAACGCTCGGACTGAGAGCAGAGGGTTAGAATCGTTTTTTTTAGGCCGTATGCTGACGCATTTGTTCGGAAACTTCTTTGCCGATAGGTTAGTGAAGGTTCATTGTACCGCATGGCAGAAGAGAATGCAAATGTTTGACTGCAGCTATATTATGTGACCCGAATAGGCACCCAAAGTGACAACCAAAGAAATCTGCGTTGCATTACCTCTTTTACCGACAAAAATGGCAGGGGACAATCACTGTATCAGCCCGGACATTAACTGGCCAACGGGGTCAATCACTGTGACAATCGTGCCCTAAATTCATGGACTGTTGAAACCAGTGAGAATTTAGAATTTCACTCACCATCTACCGCATAGCCAAACCCATACCTACACTGTAAATCCGGGGTGTCCAGCAGGTAGGCGTCAAAGTCGCCTGACCCGCCAAACTAGGCGACTTATGTCGCCTATCTGCTGGACATCTTCTGTTCTTCCGGGTAATTGCATGGACACAGTTGGTGGAATGCCTATGGACTCATACAATGCAATTGCCCGAAAGAACAGAAGATGTCCAGCAGATAGGCGACATTAGTCGCCTAATTTTGCGGGTCAGGCGACTTTGTCGCCTACCTGCTATGGACACCCCGGATTTACAGTGTAGCCATTGCACCTAGCGAATTTTGAAAATTTTGATCAGAAGCTCGTTGGCAGGCAGGTGTATGCACATGCGCGCTTAAAGGCTCAATCACTGTTTCCTCTACCAACCTTGTTCCAGACTTT